TGCCTGATGATTATGTGCAAATGATGCAGAGATGTTGGGATGTGGATCCATCAAAAAGACCAACTAGTAGAGAGCTTGCTATTTTTGCTATCGATAAACATCAGGAAATTCGTGAAAACAATAGTAGTGATAATAATATCAGCAATCGTAGTAGTGATCCGCAACAAGTACACAAATCACATCCAGATGCATATCATTCAAGTAGAATACTAGAAGATGAGATTGCTAAATTTAAAAGCTTGAAAAGTTATACAAGCAATAGTTCATTAAATAATCTTGGTTTTAACTCTCTTATCTTAAATGTTGAAGGTAATAAAAATTTTATTATTAATTAATCGGAAATTACCATTCGTGAATTATCACTAACAATATTTTTATTTACATTCGATTGATTAATAATAAACATTAGATTCTAATAATTTAAAGAAAGAATCGACGAATGACTGATTTAATCTTCACTACAAATTCATCGTTATATTTATCTTTTGAAGTAATAAACTTTTTATAATTTTCTGATTCTTATTAAATGTTGGGTGATATTTAAGGTAGCTTTTTGGTTAACACAAATTATGGCCTAACTTTTGGGCCACACTTGTCAATTAATTGCCAGTAACTCACAATAATTCAATGCTTGTCAATTAATTTACGAATTTACTTTGGTTCTTGCCTACTGCCTCTTTCTTACACCTTTGGCACACTTGATGGTATCGAATAACTGTAAGTAAATAAAATGGAAACTTTTACAAAGCTCAAAGGCTTCTATAAAGTTCCTTTTATTCACTTGTGATCGATTGTTTATTATATTTATTGGCCGATTTGCAACTCTCTTTGATTTATTTGCAAAACAACTCAAGTAGCTCGTTTAAAACAGCCTTATGTTTACAATTACAATAATACTACTAGTATTTCAATTAACCTTGGACGATCCTTCATTAACACTCGCTAGTTACTAACATTAGTTCTAACCTTTGCTTACTAATTAAAGCAAACTACGTTACTAATCGTTGTTAACACTTACCAGTTAAGCAACGTTAGCTTGCAAATAAAACGTGACTTTTATCAAAGCTCCACAATTGTTACCTTCTACCAAGGCACTACATTTGTTGCTTTTATCAAAGAAAATAAAGACAACGTTTTTATTTTTATTAATAAAAATAATTATTCTATCACATAGAGTTTTATTTTCTTCTGCTTTTTCAAGCGAGAACCCGAAGTTATTTTTTGCTTCAAGTTAATGAAATTTTCGTTGGTCATTACAATAAGGATAAAGATAAAGATGGAAAATTAAAGGTTTATTATTGCAAAGTAACACAATCAATATCGATATTGATATTACAAAAACTTCCATGATCATTTGCTCGTGTCCATGATAATAATTATTGATTGATGATTTGGAAAAAAGATTCAAAGTTATTTTTAACTAACATTATTATGATTTAATCATTCGTGGCACACAATTGCTCCCAAGCTTTAATTAGAATATCTTCTATCTACTTTAGATGGCTCTCATCAATTCCGATTGTTTGCATACATAGAATTTCCATAAAATGTCATCGTCATCAGATTATTTGTTTATTGTTATTATTAATAGATTTTTTTACTGCTGCCACCAAAGAATTTTCTATTAATTCCAAACGCCATTTTGGTGTAAGCTTCCATGTGTTTTTCATGTATGTTTGATCCTTTAATGCATTGTATAAAAATATAAGTGCTGATGTGTTGACATTCCATGGTGCTTGTATTTTTTTGAGGTCCATTACAATGTTTTGATGTAGGTCACTCTACTGATTCTGATTCCAATCACAATCACAATCACAATTACAGTCACAATACTGTACATATCCAAGGTTTAGTCCATAAATGTATAATATAAATGGATGATACTTTATTGATTTCATAAAATTTTAAAAGAAATTCATGCTGTGAAGCAAAAGTAAATGAATTTGATCGATAATTAAGGTTGCAAATGACAACCACATATAGAATTACATGGATTTACAATGCATGTAAATGTATATAGCAGGCTTAACGTCATCATTATACATCCATTGATTGATATTATTTATACTATGAGATATAGTTCATAAACACATACATATACACATATACTTGGATATTATAACATATGTACTTGAACATCCCAAGAACCTACCTTTAGATGCAAGTCTTACAACTAAATCAGTCGAATCATTTACACTATTTCCAAGTAATAATCTATCAGGTCAAAGAAATTTTGCATGTGAAGTTCTTGATTAACAGGTGGATAATTATGACACGTATCAATCTGGAAAAAAAAATGAAAATTATAATTTTCTATCTAATTATTTATATATGTAAATTACTGAATATTTTTATGCTTTCAAAGCTTCTTTTGGTGTACCTAACACACATTAGTAGTAACTGAAAAATCATCTATAAAAATTTCAATCTTTGCCCACCATGATATTATATCCCAAACATTATTTAGCATCTAAAATCATTATTTTTTTTGAGTTCTGTCGGTCGGGTTGGAACACTGATTATGATTAGTTGTTTAGTCGAGATTGTCATAATTAATCAATCCTCAAAATGTCAAAAAATTATTTATATTAAAATAAAGTTCCCTATGACAAACTTTGTCGTATATATGTATTTTTTGTGTCTTTGTTTAATATGGTAATAGCGAGAGAGATCAATAAAAGAGAAGTTTGTTATAATAGGTGCTTGTTATACAGAGAATGAAATATGGTTTTTTTCTCAGAATAGAAGGTATTTTAAAGGGGCCCCGTCCACTTTACCGACAAGATTGATTTGTTCGTGCTTAAATAGTAACTACTGCTCGAACACGACTCGTTTTTGTTGTTTTTACGCTATATAAATAAATATACCGAAATGATTTCTGGAGAAATTTTCATTTTTCTCTGGTCAGAGTGAATAGAACAAACCAGACCAAATTTGGCCTCATTGCTAACTTCTCTAACTTCTCTTTTAACCTCGTATGTTAAGTAAAAGTTGTTTTACAGTCACTATTTGCTTTTTAAATTTCAATAGTAGACAAATAGTTGGTTTTAAAATTCATCGTAACTTTATTTTTCTGATATGATAGCTGTAGATAGTTGTCGGATTAGGGATGTTGATCGATTATACAAAAATCGATTTTTTCCACGATTAATATTAAACGTGATCGACAAAATTTTATAATCGATTGTAAATCGATTATCGATTTAATCGAAAAAATCGAAAAAAATCAAGTGTAATGTAAAAATCGGTTATTTCGATTTCGATTATCGATTACGAAAAATTAATCGATGAACATATCTATATCGGATATCCGCCGTGTATCCATCGATTATACATAACAATAATAATGGTAAGGTAAAATTCCTATGAGAATAATTGGATATCCGTAAAATATCTATTGATTACGATCCAAGATACTTTTTGGTAATTTTTCTCATAAAAGTAATTTCGAAAATAACTGCATTGTAAAAAAGTTCTCGTCATAACATCATGAGAAAATGATAAAAGAAGAAGATAATTTATGTTTTATTAAACTTAATTTGACAACAATAAACATTCTTGATTTTTCTACTTCAAAAGACACTAGCTACTTTCCATTTTTTCTTGGTTAAAATTCACTAGAAATTGATAATTTACTATGTTGAAAAATTAAAAAAATAAATACACAGAATCAATTGAACTTTATATAACAATCTTAATATTTAGTATGTTTCCCTTTATTTATTTCATCTGATGTGCTCTATTAGATAGAAACATATTCTTTACATGCTTAAGGCCAATAATGTGTCATTCATAGTGATCTTTATTCTTTTTCGCGCATAATGCTCATAGTGCATACGTATAGCGTGTGTAATCGAATATTTTTTTTACTCACTGTGCCACGAACTATGCGAAAACTATCTGCGACACATCTTAAGGCTAATCTAACCAGGATATATGATGATGCGATTAAATTTCGGGGGAACAGAACTCTGAAGTTTATTGAAATTGCATTGTTGTCAAAAAAAGACCGTCAAAAACCTCTCACTTGTCCAAAGCATACTAACACGTTTGCCTGTGAAAAAAATTCTATGGTTTTTGCCGATCACTGAATCGAAAAAGTCAATAAATTAAATAAATAGTATAGTAATATTTACTTTGATTTTTAATTTTTAGAAGTAATTAGTTTTAAATGTCATACATGACCTAACGAACAAATACATACATAATATACATATTATTATACACATTTCATTCATTCTAAAGCAGCACTAATAACAACAATAACATCAGTAGTAATGTTGCTGTTTTAAATTCTCTTTCTCCCTTTTTTCTTCCTGGGCTAATTCAGATAAATTTTTTTTCCAATAATAATAATAATATTTGAAACAATTTTAATTTTACAATCCGTACACTAATATAAATATATTCTAAATGTTATAATTAATAATAATAATATGAAAAAAAAAATCCCAATACTTACTATTTTAGCTAAAAATATTTGGTAATTCTTTCTTCATCAGTTCCTTCGGAAAAGGTTTTTCTCTGATGCGAGAGAACAAATTACTTTGTTACGAAATAGCAGTCTGTTGATCATGTTCTTTTCTTGAAACGAAACAAAAAATTTGTTAATAATTTTTTTATCCATCAAAGGATAAAAAATAAAAATTTAAAATTTATATTGTAAATAAAACTGGGTTTATTGAAGTGACGTCCAATTGTGTCCTGTACATGTGTCCTAGCTTTTTTCATTTTATTAAAATTTGATTAACATCCCTACTACCATAGAATTAAATCTGACGCCTATTATCAATATCAGATTTATTTTTATACAATTGGGAAGATAAAAACAATTTTTGGGAAAATTTTAGAATAATTTTTTCATTCCTATTTATTATTACTTTGGCGATCTAAAATTATCAATCTTAATTTACAAATTTAAGAATGATAATATCAAAAATATTACGTAATCATCATAAAAATTGTAATGGACATGTAATATACGGAGGCAAAGAGTATTCATGTAATAATGGGATAAGTAGCATTTTATTTATTTTGATTCAACTAAGTAAGAGAAAAATACACAATGATCTTAATATATGTAAATATTAAATAACAAAAATCACCGGAGCAATTGTATGAGAAACCATTTACGAATATTACCTATTCTTTGATATAAATCTATTTTATATCTTCTTCTTCACATTCTTTATCATCATTCTTCACCATTTTTTTATTCTTTTCTTGGATCGAATTCATTTTTTTGTTGATAAAAGTTTTTGGCAGCAGAGGTAGAAATTCCTTTCCTTCTTCACCATGTAATTCGCAGATTTCAAATTCCATTTCATCAATTGAAGGTTTGGGTTTTGCTCTGTCTTTTTATCAAATTATTGTTTGAAATCATTTCACAATCTTAAATTTCCTTGGATCACCGGTTGATTTAATTGGCTTACGTTAACTATCATATCAATCTTTTTGTTGATATTATGGAGCTGATTTTGATAGATAATACAGTAAAAGTCAAAGAATAGTCCACAGAAAATTTCGTTTGTGAAGGAGGTAATCATTTTTGTTAAGTACAGTATTTCTAGTTTTATTTTTTATAATGCCGCCGAAATTGTACTTTATTTTTAAAATATTCGGTTGAAATTATAGCAACCGGTTTTAAACCTGTTTTAAGATTGGTAGAACCGGTTTTAAGATATCGAAATCTGGTTTTTTTTTCGGAATAAATTTCAAGCCTGATTGCATCATGTTCCCGGTGAATATCGAAAGATTTGCATAATAGTTCCTCAAAAAATAAAATAACGAAAAAAAGAAGTGCTCTTCCTACTTTTTTTCTTTATAAATCGGATTAAAAATTACGATAATTTTCCAAGTGGAAATTTTTTCCGGACTTTGCTCAAATTTAGATAAATTCTGTAGAAAAATAAATAAAATCGAGTATCACATGCAAAGCATAGTTAATAGTGGAAGTTTATTGTTACACGAAATGTTATTGCTCCACCATTGTATAATTGTTATTATCTCTTTAAATTGGAGGTCAAGTTCAGATCCAGCTCAGTACTTACTTTTTATTTGCCAGAATGTTTGCCGTGTATTGTAAAGTTATGTAGCACGTTTCAAAATTTCCAGAATGCTCACATGTAATTGGGGACTTTTGGAACAGAACTCTTAAAATGATGTAATCAAAAACAAAAAGGATCTGCGTTTTAAGGGATTTGCTATTGTTTGGAAAAATACTATGAAAAATGAGTATTAGTGTGGTTTCCAATTCTACATATGGGGCTTTTGGTAGAAGCGGGACCCGTGTTGCGTAAAAGGGATTTTGAGTTAATCTCGTTGCTATACCCACTTTGTCTAATAAAATTTGAGATCTTTTTTTTTTTTTTTAATTTTCTCAAAACATCATTTTCACAACACGGTACGTCTCTATTGAAAAGCCCTATGTTAAGGGATCGCATTAACTCACTTGAGTTAGGAGTATGGTTCAAAAACCCATATCCGCCGATCAATCATCATTGAAATGCTCGTCCATTCATATGTTTAATTATATGTATTTAATATTATATATGAAAATATGTATGAAAATATATATCACTTAATTTGCTATCATTAATTAATTAACTGGTCGACAATTTGCCGTGTTCTCGTCTCTTGATTTTTAGAGCTTGTTACGAAATTAGCAAGATGATAATGTATGTGTTTTAACCTTGCTGCACATGTTAATCAAAATATAACTTTCTTTTTGCGGGTTAAAGATGAGATAAAACTCCTGCATTCTTTTAAGTTTAACCCCTAACGAAGCGCCAATTCCAGAATCAGAAAATAAATGATATTTAGAATCTTGCTCAAAGGAGGATATCTTCAAACCTGTCAGAAATTGATGCAACTGATAGCATCCATCAAGAGCCTGACCAAGTTCAGAAGACATAATCAGCAGTTTCGTACAAAGAGAACATGAACAAGGCTTAGTGTTAACTTGATGGATTTTGCACTAAATGTAACAACAATCATATCTATCTCTTGTTCGTCCCCTTGAATCTTCTTCAAAATCATATTCATTTATCCTGCCAGTTAATGTTAATTGGAACTGGTAGTATAAGGCTAATTCTCGCAAAAGCCATGCTGCCACCTCATCTATGAGGGTCCTTGTAGAACTTGTTTCCAACAGACTAGGCTTGCACAATCCCATAAATTATCTATCAATGATTGCTGGTGGATGCTTTTCCATTCTTTTTATTACACTAGTCGATTTTTAATGAGTCTCTCTTTTGGTTTAACTTTTTTTGACAATCAAAAGCCGATCAGAGTAGATCTAAACGCGGTTTTTTTTTTGATCACTTTTTAACTAGCCTTTTTTTTTTTTTTTGATTTTTAAGGAAAATTATTCACACTATTATTATGCATTGCATTAGTTACTTTAATTGTTTTTACCCCAATCACTAACTTTTGTTTTTTATTTTACACTATTATTAATCATTAATTTTTTTATTTAATGTAATTTTTTTTTAAAATATTAAATTATATTATATATAATATATATATATATGTATATATTTTTTTTTTGAATTAATAATAAAATATTTACATAATAGAAAGAAATAACAATATTGTAATAATTATATAGATTGATTGATTGATTGATTGATTGATTATTAATTATTTTACTTCGTAGCTTTAATGTTATTATTACAAATACTAGCCAATGAAATCATATTGTCCAATGATTTACATATATCATTATAATCTATGTGAGATTTTGGTGTATATTCTTTTAATTCTACACACGCACATAAATTAATTAAAATTAAAAATCAATAAAATCAACTAAATAAATAAACCAATAAAAACACACAAAAATAAAAACATAAAGCCTTGGCTACTTACTTTGAAGTAATAGACAATATCTGGTAACACGTTGTATTGGCATTATCATATAATCAGAAATAGTTAGACGATTTGTTTCTTTTTTATTTAAAGATTGCTATATATAATTTATTTTTGTGAGAGAAAAATATATGTAATTATTTAATTTGATTTAATGTGAAATAATAATAATAATAATAATAAACAATAAATCATATAATTTTACCTGAACAAATTTTCTATATAGAACATTTTTATTTGCTTTCTTGATAGCATTCCTGCTTTTTCGATGATTTTTTGCATATTTTTGATAAATATCAAAATCTTTATAATATCTTAGAAATGTTTGACCTAGCCTATGGTTATTATAAATGTATTGTAGATTATTGGATGATGGGAATGGTGAGAACCTCATTGATTTAACTAGTTCGTTTGACAATTTTATCAAATCATCTATATAAGCAAAAATTGTCGGTATAAGTTTAGGATTTACTAATGGATTTGGGGTTTTCGAAGCTTCTTCAAATGGTTCCATAAACAACTAATAATAAAAATAAAAAATAATTTTTGTTATCACAACGATGACAATGATTAGATGATATATGTGTGTGTGTGTGTGTGTGTGTGATAAATATAAATAAATTTTTCACAACTTACTTTTCTCAATTTTTTCAAATGTTTTAAATAACTTAATTCAGTTGAATATATTTCACCAACAATAAATAATCTCATTTGATAATTTGGACTTTTCTCGTTAGTGCTTGTAGTCTTTATTGACGACTCTAGTTTTGACATAACTATCCTCTCTTCATTTACTATTCTCTTTTTCCCTTGGCTATTTCTGTTTTTGGCTTTTATTTTCTCATCATCATCATCATCATTGTTACTACTATCAAGGTTATCAAAATTAAAATCAAAATCAATGATAAGCTTGTCATTGGTCTTATTTTCTTCACCTATAACTACATCAATTTGCTCGCCCTCTTTTCCTTTGTCATCACTATCACCATCTTCATTGTCGTCATCATCATCTTCATAATCTTCATTGTCATCATCATCAATACCATTATTATTTATAGTTTTATTTCTAATATTAAATATATTTAAATCAGATTCTTCAACTAATTGTTGATTTGATTGTGCTGAAGTTGTGCATGCATAAGAATTTCTTCGTTTGATTTCGGTTATAGAGTTCCTTTTTAATTTAAAGAAGCCTTTTAAATGCCTAACTTCGATATGTGACCAAGATCTTCTTATGTTACTATTTATAGTTTTTTGTCGTTGCCTTGATGATTGTTGTTGTTCATCCGAACAATTATTATTATTATCTTTATTTATTACGAAGTTGTTGCCCTCGTGTGGTATTCTTAATGATGTTGGTGATGATGCAGGTGTTGTTAAAAATGTTAAAGAAGTTGGTGTGGTAGTAATGTTAGTATTATCAGCAGTAGTAGTAGTACTAGTAGAAGATGACGAGAACCGATTTGAATCCGAATCATAATTGGTTATAGATGTTGTTGATGTTGATGATGTTGAATGATGATGTTGGTGTTGGTTTTGTGAAGTAAATGTAGAAATTAAACCATCTAATCTGGATTTTTTATTGTTGTTATTATTATTATTATTATTTAATGGATCATTTATTGTCGGTATATTATCATCATCGTTTTCAGAATCGTTTGAAGGAATAATTATATTTGGAGGTGACTTTGAACGTCTGCCTATACTAAGTGAACAGTAAGAAGGCTTAATTGTAGATTTAGATGTAGATGAAGTAGGAATAAGTGCAGATGCTGGTGATGGTGATGACGGTGATGGTGATGACGGTGATGATGGTGATGACGGTGATGCGTGATTGTTTATGTTTACAAGCTGTTGATTATCATTATTATCATTATTATTATTTGATGATGATGATGGTGATGATGATGATGGTGATGATGATGATGATGATGCAGTATTAGTGGTGGTGAGAAGATGACGGTGATGATGAAGAATAAGATTGTTGGCTGTGGCAACTAAAGCTGAAGACATTTTTTCTTTAGTAGTAGTTGTCGTTGTGGTGGTGGTGGTAATTTTTGACGAAGTTATTTGAGATAAATCGTTGCTTACAACTGTATTTTTGTTCTTATTATTATTATTATTATAAATCTTGGTGAATAATGGTTTAAGATTTAAGATTTTTTTAGATTTTTTCAATGATTTGCAAAATTTTTGTAATTTTGAAGGTTTTGAATGCTTCGAGCAATTTGCGGTGTTGGTAACGTCGATGATATCTAGATAATTTTATATTTATAACTTAATAACAGAAATATTATAATATATATATATATAATGTATTTTTAAAAGTAAAAAATAAAAAAAATAAAAATAAATTTTTTTTTTAAATTATATAAAAAGAGGTTAGAAACCAAAAAAAATCACGGAAGAGATGGTGATAGAGAGAGAAAAAAATAGAAAATTCGAAATTCAGAATGAATAAAAATAAAATAATTTATAATATTTACAAAATAAAAAAATTATTTATTTTTTTTTTTTCCTTTAAAAAAAGTTGAAAAAGTAGAATTTTTTAAATGAATTCAATTTTTTTTTTTTTTTTTTGATGATGGAAGCAAGTTTTATATAAAAATATGGTTTGTTTTGATTGATAGATAAATAAAAGATAGAAAGGAATAATTTTTTAAAATAATAATATAAATAATAAAAATGATAATATAAATAAATTACTAACACTAATTTTATATGATGTGATATCTATTATATCGGGTTATTGCTATTTCGTTTTTTAATTTTTTTAGGTTTTTAATTCATCATATGTGGTTTATTATTATTATTATTATTATTTAATTAAAATTGTATTTATTATAATAATAATAATTAAATATTTTTTTTTTTTGTAGTATAATTAAATTAAGAAAATTGAAAATAAAAAAAATTTAAGAATCAAAAAAATTATTATTTATTGTGATTACTTACCATTATTTTCAGAATCATAATTATTGCTACCAGAATTGTCGTTCAAATTAATAATATTATTATTGCCAGTGGAAATATTATAATTTGAAAGTGAATTGTAATGTGTATTGTTGATCGAAAGAACATTATCTTCGAAAACAAAATTTGATATAGAGAAACAAAAAGAATATAATGAAGATGAACGATAATTACGAGAATGACGTGATTGGAAATGGTAATTATTACTACGACGATTAGATTTAAGATATCGACGACGACGGTTTGTTAAAGGTGATGATGTAGTTGAATTTGAATTTGAATTTGAATCTGACTTTGAATCCGAGTTAAAAATAAAAATATTGTTTTTGAAATCGTTGATATTGTTGATTTCGCCAAAGATCAAGGAAATATATATAATATATTGATTAATTATATCTTTAATTTCGTCATTTAGTTGTTCTAATTTTGCTGGTGAACTACTAATATTGACATTACCATTATTATTATTTAAAGCCATTTTTTTTTTCAAATATGATCGATCAATTTAATTATAATAAACAGTTATAATAATTGTGATGAATCCTTGAAAACATATGATCATGACGTTTAAGTTTACGTTGTTGTTTGATGATGATTAAACTGAATGTGACGTAATAGTGTGTTAAAATTTTAATTTAAATTAATATACAATATAATATAAATAGTATATATATATATATATATATATTGTGCATATAAAACAAAATAATTGATGTGTATGCTAATATATATACAGTATATATTAAAATAAAAATAAATTAATATATAAATAAATAATAAATAATACTAATTAGGAACAAATAATTAATGGTTTCTTATTTTAAAATATACATATATATATTATATATATATATATATAAATGATGGTCGATGAGGTAATAAATTTATTTAATCGAATTTCACAAAGGTTGTTGAGTGAAAGAAAGAAAATGACAACTTTTATTTATGAAATTTTTTAATATGATGGGAAAAAAGAAACTTTTAAATAATTTTTTTTATGATTTCATAAATTTTTCCAAAAAAAAACATGCTAAACATGATGATATAGTGCGTTAAAACAATGATACGAAACATTACTAGGAAATGTGATAAATTAGTTAGTTGATTGGTTTTGGTAAGCATGGTGATGTAGTTGTAGTGAAATGACGTTTAAGTACTAGAAAATGTCAAAAACAAAACAAAACATTCTTTGTGTAACCTTTAAAAATATAACGAAAAGTTTAAAAAGTTTTGGAAAAAAAAAATGGCGTATTTTATTTCTTATTTAATTGTGTAATTTTTTGGAAACGAGACTTTTAACAGGAAAATCATTTAAGTGGATGTATCTCTCGCTTATTTCAAAATAATAATAAATAAAATTTATTATTTCCTTCGTCTTAAAAATTTACATTATAATGATCATATTAGTCGTCATTATATAATCATCATCATAATCATCATCAACGCCTCCTCCCAGAAAAAAAATCCAGATGTGATAGACAACAATAATTGACTCCGATTATAATTATAATGATTCTTTTCTGTGATCAATAATACGGTCAAACTAACGACGATATAATTTTTATTTTTGGTAATTTTGAACTTTAAACCTTAAATTTATTTTTAGATTTTAAGTTATCGAGATAATAAATTCTTTCTTTTAATTACCTAGATACGAACATGCACCATTATCCAAAACAAAAAAAAACCTGGATATAACCAGTAGTAAATTCACTTTTTCGTATAACAATAATCCTTTTTATGGTATATGCATAGTAATCCTAATTAATATTCTTCGTATTCTTTATTTTCTTTACATTGAATCTAGATCACATGACAACAATATGTATAGTGATAACGATCATATGTTAGTATATGTTGAAACGGAAAAATCTAATATTAAATATTAAATAGTTTTAAATTTTTAAAGAATTTTATTATTATCAATTTTTCAATTCGTTTTCGAATTCAAACATTTGCTTACGAGATTTGTTTCTTGTTTTTTTAGCCCTTTAGATTTTTTCTATAATATTATATAATATTAGTTTGTGACATTTATATGGATAAAAAAACCAATAAAATATTTGTACATTTATAACTAATAACCTGATTTGTGACTTCTCCCACCTATCAAAAAACCCTTACATAAATAATAATCTGTTTGTGCGTGAGAAGCGTGTTTTTTATTTATTATATAATAATGCTGTTTATTATTTATTATTTATTTATTTCTGTGTTTATTTATTATGTTATATTGATTACCAATAAAGGATAATTTCACACGTGAAATCTATTTATGTAATTGATTACTTGATTTATTAGTTGGTTAAAGAAAATTAATAAAAACAAATGACTGAATTTTTCAAAACCCATCCAAGGTTTTAAAAAGCTTTACACAAAAAATTTTTTTTGGAAAAAACCGAAAACAATACCATGTTATACGAACTCACGAATGTAGGAAGCAAATCTACACATTTCGCTCTTTAACATCTTCTTTCATTTAGGAACAATTTCAAATAAATAAATAATTAATTAATAATCGCGCGATTCAAATTCTCTCGCCCATTACACTTTTTTTGTTTTCGAAACTTCTTTTAAAATTACCATTTCCGTCTTCCTATTGTTATCTATTGCTATTTATAATCTCGGGTGTTAATATTTTTATTGAAAAAAACTATTTATGTAACCGCCACCATTCCCAATTAATATATAATATGAAAAAAATATAAATTGCCTTTTTTATTTATGTGCTTATTGCGCATTATCTGTACGACAATTCAATAAAAATTCATTGTTATTTTATTTCTGAAATGGGTGAATTTGGCCTATTTTCCGAATATCAGTATCAAACACAAATATTTATTTAATAATATATTATTATTATGTACACACATGTGTATTATTAGTATTAGTACTAGTATATAATATTGATAATCCCGAAAAAAAAAATTTATGCGCCAAATTGGACAATTAAATAAAGTATTTTTGTATGTTAATACGTGCATGCATGTTTATTTCATTTTATTCATTCATATAATGTAAATTCATAAAATAAATGCATTTGAGAAAAAAAGAGAAAGAACATACGGTCCTTGTTACAACAGGATTTTTGTTATATTGAAACAAAATAATTTTAATAATTTTGTGATAAAAAATCATTCAGGTATATACTTAAATGATAAATAAAATAAACAAAAATCATTGAGTAATGGTTTTAACTTAAATATATTAATTTTGCCGACAGATGAGCGTCATCTCTTGTCCCGACTAGGAAGAAATTGAAGCCACAATTCTGAGAAAGATGTTTTTTATCGCCTTTGAAGCTGTTTATAGACTCATTCATTTCAATTGTTACAATTCTAAAAAATCAAGATCAAGAAAAATTAATTTTCATTTCTGTTATTTATTTGTTTTTTTCCAAAACGATATTGCTTGATTTCTCGTTATAACGAAATCGTTGAGGTATATTTTATGCAAATATCGGATCATAGTTAATGTACTAAACAAATTTTGAGATTATATACATAGTGAATCTCGATTTACAGATAAAGTTCAAAGAATGGTTTAACAATAAACCTTAATACCAACCTTCTCGATGTAGCGGATATCTCGGTTTAACGATTTTTGCCCAATTGCCCAAACTATCCGTTAAATCGAGATTCATTGTGTAATATTAAATCCATATTTAGCATAGATAAGCTATCCAATCAATTGATGCAATTCATTCGTGAATTATTATTACAATAATAATTTTTATTATTTATTTAATTTAATTTAATTAATATTTTTTTCCAAAAAAAATCAACTATCTTTCTTTTTTTAATTTATTCATCAACTACCTCATTTTAACTTTTTATTATAATTTATTTATTTTTTAGCTTTAATTTTCTTTACATAAAATTCTAGTTCTTTACCCTCAAGAATATATCCATCTGCACGACCGCATTGTCCAGGGCGAGATGATATAATGGCTATATTAAAAAATAAAAACATTATTTTTGAGTGTGGGTGAATATTTTTTAAATAGTAAATTGGCGTAATAAATATAATAAATATTTTACCATATAAACGACCAATTGTAAAATGTTCATCTAATAATGGATCCACTTTAGCAAATTCTTTACGAGCATCAAGTTTTCTTTGAACATGATTAGACTTTTTCTTGCTTAATTCTTCTGATTCAGCCTAATTTATATATTATAATAATAAATAGTGATTGTGATAAATGTGGTGAAAATAATGGAAATTTAATATTTAATATTTAATGATAATGTATAATAAAATTTAAATAATAAATTTTCTTTGATTAATTAATCCATTCGCACACACATAAATCTCATTACCTGTCCTTCTTTTTTAGACTTTTTACGTCCAACAGGTTGTCCGTAATGTGCTTCATACCATTGCTTAAAAGGTGCTGCATCAATTTGAATCACTGCTCCTTTTACAAGTGTATTGGTACGAACTAATTCATTGTTGGAAGCATTATAGGCAACTGCTACAACTCTTGATTTTCTAGAAATTGCTTCAGATCCCCAAGAAAAATTGCCAGTGTCAAGACGAAGTGCTCGGAATTTAACATTTCCTCCACGAACACGAACCGAATGAATTCTTTTTGGTCCAATTTTAGTGCTGGCTGATTGTCTACCTAGTTCAAATTTCCTTTTTTTACGATATTGAGCTCTTTTGGCTCCTGTATGTGAACGTTTGTGACGAGAATCTCTACTAATACCTGTTCAAGTATATACAGGATATATATGATATTAGGATTTATATAAATTTAGTATGAAATTTAAAATAATTGATAATAATAAATCATCGAATCTATTAATTGATAATGACGGTGGATTTGAGTATAAATATCTATTATTATTATTATTTTTTTTTTTTAGATAAATTCATTCATATTCATCTAATAAATAAATGAAAATTATATATATATAATTAATTTTTTATAAATACTTTTTTCCAAAATTATTAAAAAAATTAATAATAATCCATTACCTTCAATCAAACATTCCGATTTTAATTAATCAATTTTTTTTTATATGCAAACAAAAATTCATTTAAAATAATAATAATAATAATTCTTTTGCTTTCTAAAGTTTACAACTTTTCCAGAAGTAACCATTGATCAATTTAAAATTTTTTATCGTGTAATAAAATCTTTTCTCAATACCTCTTCTTTTTTTTATTTACGAGTAGACAAAGAAAAATGTTTACTAACCCATGTTGTTATGATCTTAAAAATTTATTATTTTTTTTTAAATATAGCATAAAAGATCTATAAAAATTTTTTTTTTATAAATTTTGTTGATCATCAACCAATAAAAATGTTCATGTAGAATCTACAAAAAATGTCACATGAATAATTAACGAGATAATAATAATAAATACTACCAATATTTATTTAAATCTCCAAAAATTTCATTATCTCCACAATAAATACTCCATTAATTTGATCAATTCATCTTCTGGATTTATAAATCCCTTGATATATGAATATTTTTTTGAGATGAAGAAGCTCTAATAAATCTTGGATTAAAGCATTGAATTTCTTTAAAAAGTGGTAATGCTGAATGTCTATTAACATGTTTACATAATTTGTTTTAGGCAAGTTGAAAGAATTGAGAAAATGTTGGTATTAAAAGATTCTTTTGGATTCTACATAATCAACCATACTTTGATTTTCAATGCCAGCTCTTAATAAATTTTTGTATTTTCGTGATTTAATTTTTTTTTTTAAATGAAAAATTACTTTCTAAATGGTTATTATTATCAATTGTTATGATCTACTACGTGGGAAAGAGATGTCTATTTTATAAATTTATGTAGTACAATTAACAACTTTTTATTTAAATTTTTAGTTTTCTCAAAAAAATGTCAATTTATAAAAAGGATAATTTTTATTTAAAATCAGACGGGAGATCGTGAGTATTATTATTATTTTTTAACATATTATTACATTTACATATGTGTATATGCGTATATATATATATACACCTTGAAATGATTAGGAAGCATAATAATGATATTATGTTATTATAGAGCTTGGTACAGGTACAATTTTTCACAGATATATCTTTTTTTGGTGGCGAAAAACTCTCAAGTTAAAAAATAAAAAACACTCTTAGATTAGATGGAACGAAATTTAATTGTTACTTGGTTGGTGTAGCAGGTTTGATTATTGTGTTTGTGTTTAAATGAATGTTTGAGCGAATGAATGAATTGACGAATTGGTGATTTACTTTTGATTTATTTATATTCAGGTGGCAGTGCAAGTGGAAAAACTAGTGTATCACAGTAATTATCAATTATTCTTTGATTTTACAAATTCAAAAATATCACATTGACGATAACAACGAAAACATAACCATAGTAATTGTAATAAGAGTAATTAATTTATAATATTTTATTTCAATCAAAGGCGTATCATTGAGAATCTTAATGTGCCATGGGCCTTCCTTTTAAGCATGGATTCTTATTATAAAATATTAACACCTGAACAAAAAGTAAACGCATTTAATAAGTAAGGAATCATTACCACTATTTTGGATAATTAGAAATTTCATTATATGAATTAATTAAAATTTTATAATTGTATAAAATATAAAAATAGTAATCATAATTTTGATCATCCTGATTCATGTGATTTTGATTTATTGTATGAGAATTTAAAAGATTTGAAAGAAGGGTAATGAATAAATTAGTAGTAAATAAAAACTTATTAAATCAGATTAATTCTATAATAATAATTTTGTTTATTTATTTAGAAAACGTGTAGAGATTCCAAATTATGATTTTAAAACTCATTCTCGGTACATCTAATGAATATCTTAAAATTTATTATTTTCATCATTATATAACAATTAACAAGGGAAATTTTTCTGTCTAAAGATTACCTCAATCAACTACTTTTTATGGAGCAAATGTTATTATATTTGAAGGAGTCTTTGCACTTTATGATCAAAGAATTGTCGATTTAATGGATTTAAAAGTTATTACAATTATTTATTTATTATTATAAATAGTTTTTTTTTTTTTCAAAATTAGAATTAATTCGTTTATTATTAGATTTTTGTGGACACTGATGCAGATTTAAGGCTTATTCGTCGAAGTAAGTATATTTATATAAATATATACATAAATATAAATGAATAGATTAAGATATCAGTCAATAAAATTTTTATTAATATGATCAAAAGAAAATTATTCCTTATTAAATTATACACATGTATATAATATAAAGTAAATCGTGATATTAAAGAAAGAGGTCGTGATATTGAAGGTATTTTACAGGTATATAATTAATATATATCATTTTATTGTGAAATTTAGTTTTAATAATCAATTGATTAATTGATTAATTAATAGCAATATCAACGATTTGTTAAACCATCATTTGAACGATACGTTCAACCCAGTATTAAAAACGCTGATGTTGTAAGTTTTTTTTTAAAAAAAAGATTATTATCATCTCTATGTTAAAAAAATTACAAATATTGTCAGATAATTCCACGTGGCCGAGACAATGAAGTTGCCATAGATTTAATTACAAAACATATACAACGTCAACTTAATGAACATAAATATAATTTTCGATGGGATATTGCGAAAAAAGATTGTGGCAAAGATCTACCAAATAACGTAGTTTTGTTGGATCAGACACGGCAATTAAAAGTATCCATCCATCTGTCCATTTAATCTTATATATATCTATTTGTTTTAAGACTTTAAGATTATATCCGCTCATCAATATTTATTTTAGTGTATGCATACAATTATTCGAAATCAAGAAACACAACGTGATGATTTTATATTTTATTCAGAAAGATTGGCAACATTATTGGTGGAGAGGTATTAGTTTTTTTAAAAAAAAAAATCAAAAAAATGAGAATCTTTTTCTAATTTGATTTATTGAATTTTAGAGGTCTTTCTGAATTTTGTTTTAAAGAACATAAAGTAATAACCCCACTTAATGTACCATATGTTGGTAAAATATGGGAACAAAAGGTGTGTGTTTATTATTTGTTTTTCATATATATATATATATATAAATATACATGTAAATATATAATTTTTATGCTTTTAGCTTTGTGGTGTATCAATTCTTCGTGCTGGTGGAACTATGGAAACTGGACTTCGAAGAGTTGTCAAAGATTCATTAATTGGAAAAATTTTAATACAATCTGATCCAAAAACTGGTGAACCATCGGTATATTTTTTATTTTGTTTTGTTTTTATTTATTTTTTACTTTTACTTTATTATTTATTATAATAAATACATGTACGACTGTTTATGATAGCTTCATTTTGTTAAGCTTCCTAATAAGATTAATGAATGTAGTGTACTACTCATGGTAAGATAACAATAAAGTTGATAATAATAATAGTAATAATAATAATAATAATATAATAATAAATTTTATATTTTAGGATGCACAAATTGCAACCGGAGCAGCAGCATTAATGGCAATTAGAGTTTTACTTGATCACAGTGTACCCGAGGTAAATTATTTAAATAATCTATTATTTATAAGTTTTTTTTAATCAAATTATTTAAAAGTTTCTTTTTTTAAAAAAAAAGGACAAAATAGTTTTTTTATCTTTTATTGCAACACCATTAGCTTTACATGTGATTTCAAACGCATTTCCTAAAGTAAAGGTTTGCACTTCAATGATTGATCAAAAACTTGATGCTGAAACTTTATTTATTGAACCTGGAATGGGAAATTTTGGAGGTAAATTAATTAATTAATAAAATTTTTAATTTGTGTTTTCAATACAACTTTGTAAATTTATTTATTTATTTATTTATTTATTTATTTATTTATTTATTTATTTATTTATTTATTTATTTATACATACTTATATAGATAGATACTATGGTACTTGAGAGATTTTTTTTATTTCCAAAAAAAAAAAAAATAATACTATTCAAGATTTTAAATAAATTATTGCTATTTTTAATTTAATGATGATGATGCATCATCAAAATACAAAATATATAAAAATGTGACTTTTTTGCAGTTGGTAGAGATTCTGTACTGGTACACTATTTTTTTTTGCTCTGTAAATTGCATGCAATTTCTAATTTTCGCGCTACTATAGATGTGGTGCATCATTATCAAAATTTGAACAACATGAGTTTATGCTAGGAACGTTAAACAAATTTTAATCAAATTTGAACAACCAAATATACAATGCAGATCATCTATACTCGAAAGCTAAAATTTTTAAAAAACCACCACCATTCAATTTAGCTTTAAAAAGGAGTCAATTCATATATATAGAAAAATTTGTCCAAAATTTTTATATGGATTCTCTATAACGGATATTTTTTTAGTCTCAATGATCCGTTATAGTGAGAGAGTGAACTGTAAATTAACTTCTTTTACTATATATTATTACTAAATATAATGTTATTAATCAAAAATATTGTTAGTAATAATTAATGGATGGTAATTTCCAATTAATTAATAACGAAATTTTTTATTCGCCTTTTGTTAACATTTTAGAGAAAAGTGCTACAATCAAGATTATTTAATGAATTATTACTTGCATAACTTTTCAAGCTTTTAGATTTAGCAATCTTTTCATCTAATATTCTACTTTTATGATATGCATCTGGATGTGATTTGTGTAGTTGTTGCGAATCACTACTACTATTAACAATAACACTACTATTGATATTATTATTATTTTCACGAATTTCCTGATGTTTATCAATAGCAAAAATAGCAAGCTCTCTACTAGTTGGTCTTTTTGATGGATCCGCATCCCAACACTTCCCCATCATTTGTGCATAATCATTAGGCATTTCAGGTAATATTGATGGTCGTAAACCTTCACATATATCAAAAATTAAACGACGATTGTGAGCTCTATCATCAAGTGGTGTATGACCTGCAAATATTTCCCACATTAACATCCCAACACTATAAATATCGGATTCTTTGGTGTTCTTTTGCCTCTAAATAGTTCAGGTGCAACATATGGTACAATTACATAGACTTTATCTGATGATTTTTCATCAACTGGTCCACATAATCCCAATATATTACCACTATGTAAATCACAATGAATTAAATCTTTTTGATGTATAACATTTAATGCATCACATAAATATCTAAATATTGTAATTCTGTCTTTTAATGTTAAATTTAAATGTTTTTTTTGTAAATAATCTCTTAAACTTTCCTCTTCAGCATAAAGTAAAACCATTGCATAATTTCCATTATCTGGGAATTTAGTTATACCATAATACTCAATAATCAACCCTGATTTAATTTTACAATAATTCATTGCCTGAAAATAAATAAAATCAATTAATATTATACAATACAGTATTGTTTAAATAACAACTACCAACCTCATCAAAGAAGCCTTTTCCTGGATTACTTGAATCATTTAAACTTTTTAATACTACTAGTTGTTCTCCTAAATAGCCGAATTCCTTTTTATTTTCATTGTAATCAATTATACAACCTCTTATCCATCCAGCAGTATAAATTGAACTAAATCCACCTTCAGTTAATTTTGTTATATTATAAAATTGCTCAAAAGGTATCCATTCTAAAATATCGTTGATTTCATTTGACATTGTTGAATAAAGTTATCAACAATGTTATTTCCAGATGTCCAAGTAATGAAAAGACTCTGTAATTGTAAACTAATGCAACCTTCACAGAATCTATCAGAATATTTTGTCAATTTGCAATTGTTACATTCTTTTAGTTTGCCTGATTTATCTCTTGCATTTCTTAATTCAATCCCATAAATAAATTTTTCTTTACAATATTCTTTTTCATTTTCAGAAAGCTCCTTGTTTTTTTTTGTCTAATGAAAAAAAATAATCTTTTCTACTTTCTTTATCAGAATTAACCAGGGTGTTATTATACATTTCATTATTAATTTTGAATACAAATTCCTTTTCTTTCTGGTGATATTAATGGTAACAATATGTAATGAGACATTATAAGGAAAAATTTGGCTTGGTGTTTTTTTAATTACATCGGTGGAGAACTGAATAGCGCGTGACAAACAACTCTTTTGGTGGTAATAACATTAACGGGTTAACAGTTAAACAGTATATTTGATTACTTTTAAATTTTTATTAATTGATACCTATTATTGTCATCATGTAGTGATGTTAGCCGGCTAAGAACTTAAATAAATCCCACGAAATTTTTTTTCAGACACCAAGCTTTCCGGTATTATTATTACTACTATTATCGTTATTATTAATATAATTATTATTACTATGATTTACTATTGTTATTATAATATCTCGCCTTTAATGGTTCGGACAAATTATTTGAATTTGAATATTCGAATTACGTTAAAAGTCTATTCAAATAAACAAATAAAACGAATAATTCGAATAAAACTGATTAAGAAATTGAAAATCTACGGAAGCCTTTCATTTAGTGAAATTTACAAATTACTTGGTGGAGGAAAATGTGTTTTGCGTTGCTTAAAAAATTCTACTAACAAAAAATTAATTATAGAGGGAAATTGATAGAAATCGTTAAAGTAAAGAATAAAAAATGAGAAGGAGATATGGAAGTTGAAGATATTAATATTAACAATTAATAATAAAAAATAAAAAATTACTTGTCTTTTCTGTTGTTACTTGCTTTTGCCTCCACTATTGTATCATTTTATTTGATGTTATTTTACTTATAACAAATGATTGCATCATCCCGAGTAATAATAATACTAAGACCATGCATAAATGAAAACTTTTTTTGAAAAAGGCCAACGTCATGTCCTGACAAGTTAGAATGTAAAGATTTGGCAAAATGGAGAGTAAGCTCGATTTTATCAGTGGATCGGATTATTCTCATCATGCTGTAATCCGAACTTCTTTTGCATGTAGGAACACAAGTCAGCTCCTTAAAAATCGTTTCCAAAAAAATAGTAAAATGAACAAATCTGATATTTATCATGTTGTGCAGGGTTGGCATTCTGTGTCCACAACACCAACCCTGAACATAGGTGTCAGATTTGATAAAAATTTCCTTTTTCAAAGTATGACTGGTTAAGTTGCTTTTGCAACACGACTCACACGCTGTTGAATATTATTCACAGGTGAAGAAGATCTAGTCCTTTGAAGGCTTTGGACAAGTGAGAGGTTCCTTGACAGTGATGCAATTTAATAAAACTCAGAACCCAAGCGCTCCTCCTGACGTTTTATTGCATCATCATATCCTCGGAGTGGCAGTCAGTTCAGCCTTTTTTGTACATAAAGGATGGTGGGAATAATGTATTAACCATTCAAGCCCTTAAAGGACAGTTTCCCATGTGCGTGTGATCTTCAATGGTTAATGCTGCTTCTACGCATCTTATAATCATCTAATTTTAATAATGATCACATATTAAATAGCTGATCATAAAAATTTGCTTCCATGATTCACCCTTTGGAGTTGGTCTTGATCACATGAATGATTTATTGATGTGGCATTCTAAAAACCTCTATGGATAACAATATTTGATTAAGAAATTGAAATCTATGCAATTACTTGATAAAAAAATTGAGTTGGATACAAACCTTTCATTTAGTGAAATTTACAAAATTACTTGGTGGAGGAAAATGTGTTTTGTGTTGCTTAAAAAATTCTACTAACAAAAAATTAATTATAGAGGGAAAATGATAGAAATCATTAAAGTAAAGCATAAAAAATGAGAAGGAGATATATTGTTATTATTAATAATAAATAAAACATTACTTGTCTTTTTTGTTGTGCTTGCTTTTGCCTCCACTGTTGTATCATTTATTTGATATTATTATTTATAACAAATGATTGCATCATCTCAAGTAATAATAATACTAAGACCATGCATAAATGAAAACTTTTTTTGAAAAAGACCAACATCATGTCCTTAAATTATTTCCAAAAAAATAGTAAAATGAACAAATCTGATATTTATCATGTTGTGCAGGGTTGGCATTCTGTGTCCACAACAC